CTTTCCTTTAAAAAAAAATATGTAAGCACCCTGGCTGGTGTAGATCAGCGGATTGAGCACAGGCCTGCGAATCAGAGGATCGTGGTTCGATTCCCAGTCAGGGCACATGCCTGGGATGCAGGCCAGTTCCCAAAAGGGGATGCATGAGAGGCAACCATACATTGATATTTCTCTCCCTCTCTCCTTCCCTTCCCCTCTAAAAATGAATAAATAAATAATCTTTAAAAATATATAAGCAAGGGTTTGCATACACATTTTTATCATTCCTTTTTTTATTAAAAAGAATGCAAAAAGATCATTCATTAGTGGTCTATACAGGTATTCCTCACTCCTTGTTACAGTTGCACAGAATTCCACTGTTTGCAAATACCATAGTTTACTCAGCTGATCTCCTTACAGGCACATGTGGGGGATATTTCTACTATTTTAGTGTTACAATTGGTCTCACAATGAATAGTCTTGGAGCATAAATCTGTTCATGTTTTTGCCACTATATCTGTGGGACAGTGTCCTAAACTGGTATTGCTGAGTCAATGGCCAAATTCATAGGTAATTTTGCTAAATATAATTGGGCACACGTGTACTAAGCAACTTGATAAATGGTTGAATTCCAACTGATAAATCAGCATTCAGCTTAAAGAGTCTTATTTCATGACAGCATATAACTATTACATTTATATACAAAAGTGGTGTACTTACCACTTGAGGTATCAAACTTTGGCCGAACTTCTTGTGGATAAGTAAATCACTGACCATTGGCACCATTACTTATATCTAATTATAGTGTTTTACAAAGCGAGTTTGAAAGACCTTTCCCCTGTTTTGATGATGTTGATGTAGCTATTGTATACTTACCATAAATGATAAAAACATCCACCAAATTAAAGCACTGTCTAGTAACTTTGATCTTCCCAACAATCATATGTAGTGGTTTTTATTCTACCTTATCAACACACAGAGCTTTAGTTACTGCAGGTCACACAGCAGAGCTAATGTTAGAGTCAAGCTTTATTCAACAAAGAATCTGCACTCTAAGGTAATTTATTTTTGCTAAACCACCAGAAACTGGCTTACATTTTGGTATACAGAAAAGAATAGCAAGTTAGTTGCTGTTTTAAGACATGTAAGAGCAATTTCAAATTATGTTAGATGGGAGGAAGTGAACATTTAAAAAAATCATAGAAGTAATTTGTGCGGTCAGCAATTTATTCTTATACACCACATCAAAAACTGTTGCATGTAGAAATCAATGTGTTTGTTTTTTTTGGAAAGACCTAAAATTAGGTGAAATCTGAATGTTGTATAATTTTTGGGGGGTAGGACTAAAATACATCAGTGCTTTTAGTATCTCGAATAAATGTAATTATGCACTACTGCCTTACAACAGGGATTTCCACCAGGATTAGTAAGTTTGAGACATAGGATCTTTCTTCTCCACTATTGTATCTTCCAAAAATGCCCAATACTTCTGAGCACATAAAGGGTGCATGATGCCTAAACATGCCAAATAATTAGCTTTATTATTTATTTATTACTATTTAAGAATATGGAAGCTGGAGGGAAATCATATAAGGAGATTTTAGTTGAAGCTAATTTCCATGAGCAGACTTTCAGATTTGCTTTTCTTGGGGAGTGGGGAGGTGGTAAATTTAATAACAAAAAAATCACTAGGAAGTCACATCCTCTCCTTGTTATTCATACCCTCCACCCCTCAAATCCTCAATGTTGGTTATACAAAGGGGTCAAAAGCAGCCCTTGGGGAGCATTATCCCTGAAACATGGATTATGATTCAAGAATAGATACAAAATTCAGTTCCCTTTTCTTAAAAAAACCCCCAATACCAACAACCCACAAAACAAAACAAAAAAATCCTGGAGAAACTTTTAGGTTAAAATAAGAAAACAAAAAAACCCCAAAAAACAAAACCTAAAATATTCTCATAGCTGCCTCAGAAGTAGATCTTATCTTTCCACATGGAAAATGCCTTCATATCTGCAGATAGATTTTCTTCTTTCTTAGCATTGTTTAAAAAGTCATTTGGATAGTAAAACATTTAAGTGTTTGAACATGTAAGGTTTGGTGTTTGTTTACAGCATATTAAAATTTATGCATTGAGATATGGCTAGCCCAGAAGCAATGGGTGGGGGAAATACATTCTCCCTGCAGAGAAGCATGGCAGAGAAGCAAGGAACTTAAGAGTGTGAACAAAGTGTGAGCAAGTATAAAACAAGAATTAGTACAATTTGTTATAAAACAGGTCTTAGCTGGAAATAATACTGGTATGATATTGTGTAGTGTTTTTCTTCCACAGGTTGTTCTACTTTTTTGTAAAAACATGTTTTTGGTCTATGATACTATTTACTGTCATTTTAAAAAATCAAAATAGTAGAGTGCTCAGTCTCTCAACTCTAAAAAAATATGCATTGATTTTTTTCCCCTTTTCTTTGGCAGTTACCCAGTGTTTAGGCAGAATATTAGTATTAAAAGATAGAAGTAACTTTTTATCTGCCAAATGAAAACATTTTGAAGTAAAAAAAAAGGGATTCATCGCAAAGAAAGAGCACTATTATACATTTATCTCTTTAAGTATATGGCTGTTACAAAGCAAGAATTCATGAAGAAAATCCAGTATAAATGTTTCATATAGTACATGAAATTGCTAAACTTAGAAGGGGTCATCAAGCTTCTGGGCAGAAAGAAGAGAAAATTAGGATAAAAACGATTTAAATGCGATGCTAAATCCAGTCCTACATGGGAGTTTTCCATTTACAAATTTTCAGTTTTCTGAATTAAAGGGCTGTAGCCTCCAAACTGTGCAGACCCACTATTTTGGTACACGATCAGAGAATGTCTCTTTCTGAAACTAAACTGGCTGGTGCACATATTTTGATTGAAGGCATATTATAGCAAAATGAGGACTGAAAAACAATGAACTGAAATGGAATCCATGATGGTTACTTAGATGCCAGGCATACTAGGAAAGAAATCTGAGAAAATATTAATCAAGTATAGTACTTAAGCTATTTACACACTTTACACGCTGCTATTTACAGCATGTAAAGAGACAGGTGAACTCAGACAGAACCCCCAGGTAGTCTGAAAGTCTTCAGGAGGCCAGGACTGGGTTTTCTGCTTTTAAAAAAAAAGATTTTCTTTATTTTTAGAAAAAGGGAAAGAGAGGAAGTTTGATAGGTTGCCTCTGGTTTGCAGGATGACATTCAACCCACTGAGCCATGCAGGTCAGGGCTGGGTTTTCTCCTTCTTAAATCCAGTAACTATATTCCCTTATTTCTTAGGTCAGGCCCAATCAAAGCATACCTGTGTAATCAATCCCTCCATGAATAAATCTGTGGACAGTAAATCTCATAGATTGTTAACATGTCCTGTCTGCAGTGGTCTTAATCTTAACTCATGGCAAAAAACACTCAATCATTTAGTTAGGAATACCAAGTGGTAGGGAAGAAAACAAAGTGGAATGTGAGGGATTCCATGTGAAAACAATTGGTAGCATGTATATAAGGAGATAACATGAAGTCCTCTTAAAATACTGCACTGAAATTGACCAGGAATGATATAACTTTACAAGCTGATGGTCAGTTGAATATTAAATAAAAATCACAATTTTGTGTATCAAGAATACTGATTTCCTGTGTATTTTTAACAAGCGCTCCCAAAGAGGCAGCTGTGCAGGAACTGAGAAGCAACTGTTAAAAGAGTTGAACGGAGGCTCAGATGGTGTTAAATCACAAGGTTAATATTCTCTATACCTATTCATAATCCTAGCCACAACTTCTCATTTTCAGATTATTACTGGCCTCTGCTTTTTCGAATCTCTTCATGTCCTAGCAGGTTACATACGCTCTTCTCCCTAAAAGGATGTTTGGTATTCTTTAAATCTGGTTTCAGTGGTATAGAACTTTGACACTTTTGTTTTGTCTTTTCAGGATAAACTCCGTCACTCATCCGGACTACATTCCATGTCTTTCCAAATTCCTAAGGACAAGAAAATTAGGTACTATGAATTGTGCCTTCCAAACAGAGCATTCTGTTCTGCGTGATATTTCGACATAAAGGTGGGATTTGTTTGGGCAAAATAGGTCAAATTCACTCCAATTCATCCACATTTTTTGCCAGGTGTCTTGCAGGAGAGACCACGTGTTGGTGAGTTGGAGTATTGCAGACATTAGTCACTACACGCTGGCCACAAGGAGGCATAGAATTTCTGCAATGTTTCTTAAAAAAACAGGAAAAGTTATAATTCGGTAGTCGGTGTTTTGGTTTGTTTTCTTGGCATTTGTACCATAGAGAGTAATCAGAAAGTAGGTGCCAGACCTTGGGAGAATTTAAACCCAAAGACTTTTTAAGCTGTATTTGGTGGAGGCAAGCAACTCAACCGATTTCAGGGTTTATTACTTCTGGAATGTGTTAACAGTGCGCCCAAATCAGCTTTCATCCCGCTTTGGACACAACTTTGCATGTGAAAGGTCCACACTGGGCGAGAGACGAGAACGCCTTCAAGCGCTGAGTCCAAACCTAGATCCCAGCCTAGGCCATGACTCCGCATTTCAAACTCTGCCCAAAGTCCGAGCACGCCAGAAGCCGGAAGCTGGGTCACGTGACCTGACCTCCGCAGCCATTCCTATAGAGATAGCTGCTACTGTCTCTTCCACATTTCCTAGCTCCTCCAGCGCGGGAAGGTGCAGAAACGCCGGACAGGAGGCGGTCCCGGCTGCCTTGAACTCTAGTGTCTCCAAAGTTCACGCTTTTTCCGGAGGAGTTTGCAAGCTCCTCAAACCGAAAGAACGGACTCCACCCTGTGTGCCTACTTAGCGATCACGGGACTAGGCAGGAGGTGACAGTCCAGCTTCACTACTCTCGTCCCCAGACTCCGCCCGCCCCGCACCCTCCACGGCGCGTGACGACGCGGCTCTCGCGGTGTCTCGCGCTCAGCCCCGCCCACCCCTGCCCCCGCCCTTTCCGCCCCTCCCTCCCCCTCCGCCCTGTCTCTCGGCGGCAGCGGCGGCGGCGGCGGCTCGCGCAGCTCGTTGGCTCACTATATAAAGGAAAGAAGCAGGAGAACCGGACGGCTGGAGCTGCAGCCGGTGGCGGCAGCGGCGGTGCGGGGAGCGGCGACTGGTGGTGGTTTCCCTCCTTGGCGCGGGGTGGCGAGCGGGCAACGCCCCCTCGACCCCCTAAGGGTCGTGGCATTTTTTTTTAAAGGGCGATTCTCGAGGTTTTTAAGCTTCGGGAGGACTGCCCCCTCCTCCTCTCACCGCTCCCCTTTACTCCTTCAGGATCCGATTTTGTTTTAAAATTCCCCCCCCCCCAATCTTGCGGTGGCTTGCTTAGGTCACCCTCCAGCGTTTTGGGGTTTGGTTTTTTTTTTTGGTTTTGTTTTTATCTTGTTTTCTTGGGGTTGCCCCCCTCTTGTTTGTGTTGTGTGTTGGAAATGGCGAACTCGGCAAATACAAACACCGTGGTAAGGACGTGGTTCGGTGGCCGGCGGGGGCTTCGTTCAGGCGGCAGCAACGGTCGGACTGGGCGGGGGTGGGGACGGTGGCGACTCCCGGCCTCGACTCTTCCCCAGCCGCCCGCGCGGCCGCCGCCGCTTCCCGCCTCCTGCCTCAGGCGGAGCCGGCCGGGGCGGCGGGCGCGGGGGGGCGCCGAGGGCTCGCGGCAGTGGGGAGGGCGGGGGGCGTCGGCGGGGTTTGGGGCCGCCGCGGGGCGGTCCGGGCCGCGGAGGCCGTTGGGCCGGGGTGAGTGCGCGGCTCTAGCCCCAGACCCCGGCCGACTGTAGTGATGGCGGGAGGGGAGCCGCCGCTTTGCCCCGAAGTGGGCCCGGCAGCGCTGGCTCGAGAAGGGCTTCCCCCAGTAGCCTTAAAAACCGCGCCTGGGAAATTGGGTGAATTCCCCAAGACCACCGTGGTCCACTTTAATGCAGTGGAAGGCTCATGGCTACTTTGGGGGTTACTTTGGGTGTTTCTAGCGATTGTGCTTAGGGAGCCTTCTGGGGCCATTTTATGTTTAAAAAAAAAAAAGGACGAAGGTTGAAAAGCACTTATCTCGGTTCCTTCCGAATCGGTAAAATGGCGAAGGGGAAGCAAAACCCCCAATCGTATCTTCGACTAGCAAAGCACCAAAGCAAACAAAAAAAGCCGACAGTGGTCAAAGTGCCCCCGCTTTCGCCTTGAAATTTGCCTACTTCTCCCTGTTTGTCCCATTTTGGTTACTTGCGATCACGTAGGTTTGCAAAAAGCAGTCACATAAATAACCTTTTCAGTCACCAACGCAGTGTGATCACTAGTCCATCCCACTCTTATTTTTATTGTGACAATAAAACACGTTTTTGCCCGGTCCCAAATGCCGCAGACAAGCCCGCGGCGGCCCGACTCCATACCGTTGGCGACTCGGGTCGATCCATCATGGCTGCGGCCGCTTACCCTGCTTTTCAGTCCCTGAGCCTTGTGGTTCTCCTCCCTTTGGCTGCCCTGTTTATATAGAGCCATTGCCGCTCTCTAATATAGACTCTGCCAGGATGGGAAGGTGCTTTTCAGGCCTACGTCACCGCCTCTCCATTTAAACACCAGATCCGGCTTTAAATAGTGAGAGCTGCCGAGAGCAGGGCTGGGAGGTGCGTGCTCCCTAGGCGAGAGGCAGGCGCGTGTGGAGCTCGGTTTATTTCTAGATCCTTGTACTGTAATTTTGCACCCAGTGGAGGCTGCTTTCAGAGCCCCCAAGTTTTTGTTTTAATGCGGCAGCTGGGATTTACTGCCTTTGTGAGGGGGAAATAGAATTGCTGTCCCTTCTTTGTATTTTGTTTTTATTTTTTAAGGAGAGTTTTAGCTCATATGTTTAATCATCTTCGTGTTAGAAGATGTGTGCGTTATTGTCCGGCACTATTAACTGTTAGCTGCAGAGGACTTGGGTAGTATTTTGTTAACCAAGTGTTCTGGAAATACATTATAAATATAGCTTCTAGTATTTCATTATGCTTTTCTGTAACATCGAAAGCATGAACTTTTCAAATAGATTGTGCTTAAAGCTGCAACATAGAATCTTATGTCCTCAGTACAATTATGTATAGGGAAATTGTGAATTAAATCCTCGTACAAACTGGATTTTAAGAAACTAAAATTCTAAGTGGATTGTGATTTTTATTGCATCAGATACTAATATAAGGTGCAATAAAAATAATCTAGTTTTATTTTCTAAATTTGCACCAGGGGACCAACACTTGTGAGAGGAACCTTCTTATTGATCATTAGATAGTGCACTATGGCCCTTTAAGCTTGGAATATTTGTATTGAAAACCAGGACAAACATCCTCAATTACTTTGTATTTTATAAAATGCAGACACTTTGGCTCAAGTGAAGTTTAGCGTTTTAAAGACTAATTTGGAAATTACTTCAAATAGTGCCAATGTACTCACATACTTTTAAAAACAAGTATTTTGAGGGATTTTCAACTTAGGAACAATTCTGCTGAATTACTTTTTGTGCATATGCTTCATGAAGAATACACATTTGCCCTTCAACTATAGTGCTATGGATCTAGTATGTGGTCAAGTTGTGGGTAACCTCTTGAGTACTTACTTTATACATGTATTTTTGCAATTTAGTGTTTAAATTGCTATAGATAGGAATCCACTGAGTGGTTATGGGTAACCTCTTGAGTCATTACTTTATAAATGTATTTTTGTAATTTAGTATTTATATAGCTATAGATAAGGTGGTACCCCATAGTCATACACACTTTTCTTATGTATAGAATCAGAATGTTAAGTAGGGAGGCACTGTAGAGATGAAGTTTTTACATGAACAGTTGAAAGTTCACAGTTGCAGACTTGGCAGAATAAAGCAAGTTAGTAAGTGGAACAGCAAAGGCGAGAATCCAGATAGGGATGTGGATTGTTTTTCTGGTTGTAATGAAAAGAAACAAGTAGTTTTCATTGGTTGAGGTAAGTTGTATGGAGAAACTTATTATTCGTATCTTTGGTTAGTCAGGGACACATTTTCTTAGAGGATTCCCTTGTGATAACAGTATTGCTGATAGTGATGCTCATGAAACATGAGCTTTAAAACCATTGGTTTTATTGGGTAGCCGGTAACTTTTACCTTAAGCAAGATATAGACATAAGTAATGACAAAAGCATTAAAAAAAGGCTGTTGACCTTAGTTGCATGATAATGGATAGGATTTATAATGAGGCAGCTTTAGTTTTATCACTTTGACATGCAAATTTCCTTTTGTCTAACATTTAAAATTAGGATGTGAGCAAATTTTTCTGTTTTCCAACATCCGGTTTTTAAAAAAGATACAGGAGTTCTCCCACCCAGCCTCCACTCCCTCCATCTTCGGTTTATGTTACCAGTAGTAATTCTAGTTCAAAACAGTTAATTGGAAAATTTTAGAAATAAACAATAAGGTTGAAATCTCCCACCACTCTGCCCCGCCAGAGATACGCATCGTCCCATTGTCCATGCTGTGTATGCCACCCTCACATTACTGGCTGGCCATATCCCAGTGCTTGTGTTTAAGTAATCCTCATTTTACTATGGGCCGGAAAGCCAGACAGGAGTGTTGTGGGCAGCTTTTATATGCCAAAGAGAAGCTGCACAGTGCTTCCTTTAGTGAAAAGGTGAAAGTTCTCAATAAGAAAAAAAAATTTATGGTGAGGTTGCTAAGACCTATGGTAAGAATGAATCTTCTCCCCGAAATTGTGGAGAAGGAAAAAAATTTGTGCTAGTTTTGCTGTTGCATCTCAAACTACAAAAGTTACGGCCACAGTGTGTGATGAGTACTTAGTGATGATGGAAAAGGCATCAAATTTTGGGGAAATTTTTCAAAATTTCAAGGGGGGAGAGAGGTCCCATTCACATGTTTCACTATAGTATATTGTAATTGTATTATTTTATTGTTAGTCTCTTTTCCTAATTTACCATATTTTACTGTGTATAATGAGCACCTTTTTGCCCAAATGTTTGAGGGGAAAATAAGGATACACATATATGAGATAACAATTAGATAATATGGCTATAATCTGTGTATAATGCGCACAAAAAGGGGGGTGTGCATTATACACGGGAGCATGTTATACCTGGCAAAATACAGTATATATTAAACATTATAGGTATGTAGGTGCAGGAGAAAACATAGTACATAAAAGATTAAGTATTGTCCACAATCTTAGGCATTCAGTGGGAGGTCTTGGATCATATCCCCATTGTGTAAGGGGGTCTGCTATACATTACGCTTTTGAAAGTGTTTTCTCTTTAGCCTTTTGGCAACCTTCTAGAAGCCAGCTTTTCCCTCCAATACCGACAATAAAATAGTAACAATACTAATTTAAAAACAGACATCAAGGTCATTCATTATTCTGTTCCATAGCATTAACTGAGCAGCAGTACAATGAGAGAAATTTTGAGAATGAGATCAGCATGCCTTGTTCCTCTGGGATTTTGTGGCCTGTTATTGTGGGTATATGAGTTTAATAGAATAATCTTAAAAGTAAAGACTGAGTAACAAATAGAAGTTAGGTGATTTTAAACTTTGAGTAGTCATTGGGTTCAGATTACATCCAGGCAAATGACTAGTATGTAAAGTTCTCTAAAATCTAAGGCTTGGTAATCCTAAAATCTAAGGATATGAGATATGATAGGGGTCAAAACAAGTAACGAGAAATAGGAACCCATAAAACATTGGATCACATTAGGTGTTTTGGCTTCAACAACATAGGGATTATAACTGGAAATAGTATGTCCTTGTATGAACAAGCACCTTTTCTGTATATGAATTGCATTAGTCTTAAAAATTTAATCAAAATAATCAGTCATCAACTAATTCAGTTTAACTAAGGCAAATGATATTTCCAGGGTGGTTGTTTGTGTTTTCTAAAGTAAGGTATAGATAGTTGGAAAAATTACTGTTGTAATATATTGAACTTGTAAAAATGTGTTACATGTTTTAATGTGTGAAAAATGATTTTTTCAATAGTCTTTTATTTTTCATTTAAAGCCTAAATTATACAGATCTGTGATTGAAGATGTTATTAATGATGTGAGAGACATCTTTTTGGATGATGGAGTCGATGAACAAGTTCTGATGGAACTAAAAACTGTGAGTTTACTCCCCTCCTTTTTGAAAATATTTTCTATAGCCAGAGATAAATCCATAATTTTTCCATAGATGGACATTGGACTTTCTTGCAGGTGGACTATAGTTAAGTGAATGGTGCTGGTTTTAAATTCTAACTCTACCATCCTCCTCCTTCTGGTCTTAGGCAAACTGTCTATATTTCCTCATATGTGAGGTGGACGTCAGTAGTACTTATTTATACAGGTTTGCTTGGAGGATTAAATGTAATAACCATATATAAAGCTTAGCACAGTGAGTGACAATAACATTAGCCGTTGCTAATGGATAGTAATATTCTACATTTGTGGTCTAATTATTTTGACATATCTGTTTTATTTTTTAATGGTCTTAGCATACTTTATTTATACATATGTACATACATACATACAGAGAGGGCAAGGGAGGGAGAGAAGCATCAGTTGGTTGCCTCTCACACACCCCAACAGGGAATCAAACCAGCAACCCTTTGGTTCACAGATTGGTGTTCAATCCACTAAACCACACCAGCCAGGGCTAGTGTACTATATTCTAAAAAAGAATTTTATGTTCTTGAATCTGATTCTTTATATTGGCCAAATAATAAGGTTTATCATATATTTTACTTTGGGAGCTAGTTTTTTGTCTTTTGGACTACCTTGGACTTAAGCAGAAATATTTAAAATTTTTATTTGTGTTTTTTTTTGGTGGTGTAGTGACTCATAAATTATAGAATACTTTTGCCTTATTGTTCAGTGGTCCTAAATGTATGGCCGGTGGACTCCTTGGGTTTCCCCACCAGCTCTTTCAGGGGTCTGTGAGGTTGACCAAATGCCCAAGTCCAAGTCTTACAGTTTTGTCATATTTTCAGTAAAAGTGGTGTTCTTTGAAAAAAGTGATCAGTTCAGCTCTCAGGTCAAGTGCACATGTGCTTTTCCTTGAGTAACTGTTTCATATGCAGTGGGCTGTTTGTGGATGCTCCCCATTTTCATGTACTGAATATTAAAAAGATACCTACTTATGGGTCAAGATAAGTAAGAAATGCAAGTGTTTGATATTTTGTAATGAATTGTGTTAGCATTGGGAATATCTGTATAATTCACTGAATTCATATTGCCAAATGACCAATGCATGACACTGCAGAATCTGTTCATAGTAAAAGATAAATTAATGGTTTTTAATCAAGGAGTATGTCAAGCTCATTAGTATATGGTTTCAGATTCTGTATTGCAGCTAACTTTTAAGAAACCATCACTTACATACTTTTTCCTTTCCCAATTACTTAGCTGTGGGAAGGCAGGGTTTTTTTGTCTTCATATAAGTTAGCCAAAATGACCAAGTGAATGCAGAAACATACATGAGACTCCAGCTTTTTTCCTTTAAGCATTTTCACAAAGTTTTATTTCACACATATGGTTATTTTCATTAAAATATATTATTTATGTCAGGATGTAATGGCTACATTATTTTTAAATGAATTAATAAACTTCAAAAAAATCTTAGTTGTAGCCCTGGCTGATGTGGCTTAGTGGATTAAGTGCCAGCCTGTCAACCGAAAGGTCGCCAGTTCAATTCCTAGTCAGGACACATGCCTGGGTTGCCAGCCAGGTTCCCAGTTGGGGGCATGTGAGAGGCAAACACACATTGAGTTTCTGTCCTTCTCTTTCCCCCCTCCCTTCCCCTCTCTTTAAAGATAAATAAATAAAATTCTAAAAATAAATAAATAAAGATCGTAGTTACAATTTTATAAAACTTCTTTGAGGTCCTCAGTAATTTTTGAAATTGATAAAGAATCCTGAAACCAAAACATTTCAAAATTTCTGGCTTAGAAATTGGTCATTGAACTTATTTAGGGCTGTGTACAAATAAGTTATCACAGTTAATGAATGCTAAGGAACCTTTGTTGTCATCTTTTTTGTACATTCAGTGGAAATGTAGAGGCTGTAATTTAGAAACTTGTAAGCAAATCTCACCTTTATTGTGGTGGCGAAATATATGATAGAGTGCTTAGGCAACTTATCCTGGGCAATTTCTGTAGAGTTTTCAAGAAGAACCTGTCCATATGAAGAAAGAAAAATAAAAATACATATTTTGAGATGAAGATAAATTTATCTGGAGAGAAATGTAGTGGTTGTTGAAGATCCCTACTGAAGAGTAGGGATCTGAAAATGTAAAAGAATGCTAACTTTGACATGTAATTTGGAAGAACAACACTGGAAACCACTTCAATAACAAAGTATCTTCAGGAAATGAGTAAGAAGAGAATAACCTTAATTAGACTCTTTTGTGTTACATGGAGTGAATATTTTACAATTTATGTTACTACTCTACAGTTTTTGAAGTTGTCCTTGTTTGTGACTTTATGTAGAAGGTGTGTCACTGTTAGGTGTAGAAAAATCAATTCCAAAGACTCTAATTTACCCCAGGTCAAACTAGTGGTCAATCTAGATTGTTGTGTATTCTTATTTTTCACAAAGTCTGGGGAATCGATTTTTCCTATTGGTCCCAATGTAATCGAGGCATTTTCTCCAAAGGGAATAAGTTGTGTTTGAGACAAAATAGCTCTACCTGCATATTTTTATTACATTTGACTTTAAAAATATGTATGTGTATATATACAGATGTATACACATATACAATATATTAATATACAAATAATTATATATGTTTTGTAGGTTATGTGCTGATTTTGTGTTTAATGGTTAGTTTTACTTTAATAATACAAATTGTGACTTTTACTCAGCTTCACGTCTCCAGCTTCTACCACAGTGCCTGGCATATGTGATTGGCATTCAGTAAATATTTAATTCAGCTGTTTAATAACAAATGTGACTCCAGAATCTAACTCAACAAAGTAGATTAATATTTTTGTTGTTTTTTAAATGGGACAACTTCTCTATTCTGGGTTGTAAGTGGATTAAAAATAAAACTGTTAGATTAAAATGAGTTGTTATTTTAATTCTCTGCACTAATTTCTTCAGGATCTCATTAGAATTTCCAGAATGTGTCCTAGTTTTTTTTCTTTAATTTAGTCTTGTGTTTTTTTCCATTGCCTTTTACTCCCCTTGCATCCCCCTCCTCCACAGCATTCTCTGCATTGTTGTATATGTCTGTTAGTCTGTTTTCATTTTTGCTCAGTTCTTCCACTCTGTAACTGCCCCCCGCCCCAAGCTGTCATCCAGGTTTCCCATGTATGAGTCTGTCCTTATTTTCTTTGTAGTTCAGTTTGTTCAATTCATTAGATTCCACATATGAGTGAAACCGTGTGGTGTTTGTCTTTCTCTGACTGGCTTATATCACTTAACATAATGTTCTCTAGGTCCATTCATCCCGTGTAAAGAGTAAAATTTTCTTCTTTTTTTATGATCAAATAGTATTCCATTGTGTAAGTGCCTCATAGTTGTTTTATTCACTCATCTACTGATGGATGCTTGGGCTGCTTCCATATCTTGGTGATTGTAAGTAACACTGCAGTGTAGATAGGGGTGGGGTGCTTATGTTCTTTCAAATTAGTGTTTTGGGTTCCTTCATGTATATTTCCAGAAGTGGGATCGCTGGGTCAGAAGACATATCCAGTTTAAATGTTTTGAGTAGCTCCATACCGCTTTCTACAGTGGTTGCATCAGTTTGCATTCCCACCAGCAGTGCAAAAGAGTTCCCTTTTCTCCACATCCTGGCCAGCATTTGTTTGTTGATTTATTGATGATAGCAATTCTGACAGGTGTGAAATGATATCCATTGTTGTTTTAATTTGAATTTCTCTGATGATGAGTGCCATTGAGCATCTTTTCATATGTCTATTGGCCATCTGTGTGTCTTCTTTTGAAAAGTTCTGTTCCCTGTTTTTTGCCCATTTTTTAATTGGGTTGTTTTTTTGGTGTGTTTTGTAAGTTCTTTATAAATTTTGAATATTAAATCCTTAGCAGATGTATTGGTGAATATGTTCTCCTATTCCGTGGGTTATCTTTTTATTTTGTTGATGATTTTCTTTGCTGTGCAAAAACTTCTTAGTTTGATGTAGTCCCATTTGTTTTTTTTCTTTTGTTTCCTTTGCCTGAGGTGATATATCTGATAAAATATTGCCACGAGCAATGTCTGAGATTTTGCCGCCTATGTTTTCTTTTAGGACTTTTATGATTTCAGGTCTAACACTTTAAGTCTTTGATCCATTTTGAATTTATTCTTGTGTGTGGTGTAAGGTCTGGTTTGAACATTTTGACAGTTATTAGAACTTCCTGTGGTGATGGTAATGTTCTGTGTGCTCTCCGTTCTGGTGGCTATTAGTCATGTGTGGCTATTTAAGCACTTGAAATATGGTTAGTGGAACTAAAGTGAGTTTTTATTTAATTATAATTAATTTCAATTTAAGTTGCCATGTGTGGTTAGTGGCTACTGTACTGGACCCGGGAGGTTTAGACATTCTTGCTAATAAAAACTAACATTAATTTAATATTTTATGGTTTTTAAAGGACTTTGTCATTAGCCCTAGCCCCTTTGTCCTTTTTGGCTATTTCACGAACTTTATAGCTTTCATATGGCTTCCATATGGCTTTGAAGGATACAGTGGTGAATTAGATTATGAAGTAAAGTGAATACTGAGAGTATATGTAATTTGAAGTGTATCTAGATAATGTAGGAAAGGAAGAAATTTAAAAAATTCAACCTTGTTGTTGACATTATTCCTTGAAACACTGTGTGCCTACTTTAATGTAGGGAACATGGGAGATAGAAAAGACATAAAATGTAGTCTTCATCTGCAGTAAATCTTTATTTGGATGTAAATTGTGTTTTGGATTGGTGAGTGACTATGGGTGGGAGTGATAGTCCAGAAATCCTGTTTAAAGTGAATTATAAAATCATCCTGATTTTCTGACTGTCACCTGCCCATGTCCAAACAGCAGTCACTATGGAAGATATAAAATATAGATAGCCTTTTTTCTCAGTAAAACAAAATGAGAAGTACTTCCTTTGTTGCAGACAAATCTAAAACTCAGGTGTCTGCCCTCTAGATAAGGTTTCTCAACCTTGACGTTACTGACATTTTGGACCTATTAATTCTTTTTTGGAGAGGGCTGTCCTATTTTGATGTAGGATATGAGCAGCATAACTGGCCTCTGTCCACTAGATGCCAGTAGCACCTCTCAGTTCTGACAATGAAAAATGTCTCCAGGCATTGCCCAGTGTCCCTGGGGGGCAAAACGATCCCTGATAGAGAATGACTATTCTAAAAATATACTCTAGTTACATATAAGTACTTGGACCATAGATTGAATAATCTCTTATTGTCCTTCATTTCCTTTGGGGAAAGCTCTGTTCCCAAACATCATTCCTAAGGAGTCAAGAAATGGAGTTCTCTTACGTTTTATCCAGGAGCTACATGTTTTGTGAAATTAGGAGAATCCTTCAGAATTTCTAGCCAAGCATACTGCCAGGAAGCAGTAGATCTAATCACATAGGTTAAAAAACAGACTCTGAGAGAATATGCTTCCACAGGGTCATTTAGCAAGTCATAGAAAGTTGAGCTTAGGCCTCACCAGAGGCCTTAGGCCATTTGTCACCAGCTGACAAATACAATATTTCTCAGAAAAGAGAAAGGTACCAGAGTTGTGACTATCTGTCCTAATAGCATCAGTACAATTTAGAGATCAGAGACTTGAACCAGATTTGGAATTAGGGTGAGGTAAGGGAGAGATGCCTAGGATACAAAATTTAAAGGACCTTCATTCTTCACTCTCCAACTCCAGCCCTGACTGCAAATAGTGGAGTCAGATTGCCTGAATTATATCCCAGTTTTGTGTGCTATTGGCGATGTTGGATAACTTACATAACTTTGTGTTTCTTGGGTTTTTTCTTCTGTAAAAAGGAGACAGTAGGACACCTTTGGCATTTAGAAGGTTAGAGCCAGGAGTGTTGCATTTTCTGTACACTTCCCAGCGATTCTACCCTGTACAGGAAGGAATTGTCTTGCTCCAAATGTCAGTAATATCTTACAGAGAAACACTATGCTAAAAAACAATAATTTGTTTTCTCTACTTTGAATTAATATTAAATGTCTGGTAAATTCTTCATGATTTTATTAGCTCCTGAGCACACATATTTTCTACCTGAACGATAGTAGACTTCATGTGAAAAGTATAATGATATTTTTAAAAATTGGAAATATTTCTAATGTATACAGACAGTGAGAAATTTCTTTCAGGCTATGTATCTTTGACATTTGCATTGTTTTGAGAGTTATGAGGGAAGACTGCCAGTCATAAGGAGTAGTTTACTAAGGTTCAGATAGGAGATACATTCAGGCAATTGCAAGCAGTTTGGCACCATTAGGAAATAGAATGCAAATTATAGTAGCAGTTGGAGAGTTAATACATACCATGTGGAGCTTGGTCTTAAGAGTGAGAAAGATTTTCCTGGGGTGCTAGTTCAAATGCAGGTTTTTGGACTACTGTTTTAGAGAACCTGACTTGATAAGGGTACAATCTGATTTTTTTGTTTGTTTGAATTTGCAACAAGAACAAAAAATCCAAATTGACTTTTAATAATCCATTAAAATCTGAAGTTTGAAAAGCGTAGACTTCAAAGCAGCAGTTCTCACCTTAGTTTGCATCAGAATAACCTGGGCAGATTATTAAAAGAGATTCCTGGCTCCATTCCCAGAGCTGCTGATTCAGTAGGTTTGGGGTGGCACCTGAGAGTTAGTATGTCTACCAAGTTTTCAGGTATGATTGGCTCCAGGATTACATTTGGAGGACCAAGGATCAAATGGAAGGACAAATGTCCACTAGAATGTAGATTCTGGTGAGGATAAGGATTTTGTTTAATATGTTCACTGTCTATTCTCAATGCCACTAACCTTATCTAGCATATAGGAGATACTCTGAAATTATTCTTAGAATGTATGACTTTAGAATGTGGGGAGCTCAGCGAGCTCAGTCATTACTTTATAGTAATACTGGTGGGGAGGAAAGGACTTGAACAAGGGCGATAGTAGCAGAGGTAAATTGGAACAGTGCTTTGGAATGGAAATTGACAGTGATGATGGAGTTTTGGGGTAGATTCTGACTCATAGGTCAGTGACTTGGAAGGTTAGGTGAGTGGTGGTACCCAGCACTTAGTACATAATATGTATTCATTTTGAATTTGCCATTACCATGGATGTTTCACATGATGGTTATATTGCAGTGGGTAGGCCAGTTGGAGCTGATAAAACTAAAGCATTAAATTTAGAAAATTATGGTTTAAGAACTGTTTCTTTTTTGTACCTTGATTTTTGGTTCACAAAAACTAGGTTTTATGGAACACATTAAGTGCCTATTGGGTACTGTGTTGCTGGCCAGGGCAGTATTAGGCATTTTTGTTTTTTATGTAGGATTAGACAGACGGAAAGTTGGGTTTTTCTAATTTGAGATTTGCCTCTATAATGTTTCTTATTGTTCAGATCACGAGAGGATGTGTTTATGCTTTGTATGTTGTTTAACAGAATACATTGGCCCCGGTTGGGCGGGTCATTTGGTTGGAGTGTTTGTCCTGTACACCAGAAAAGGTCACAGGTTCGATTCTGGTCAGGGTTCATACCTAGGTCGCGGGTTTGATCTCCCTGGTCAGGGCACATGCAGGGGGCTGCCAATCGATATTTCTCTCACATCGATGCTTCTCTCTCTCTCTCTCTCTCTCTCTCTCTCTCTCTCTCTCATATCAATGAATATACTCTCAAATTTTAAAAAGTTACAAAACAGTGTATTAAGGAAAGACTTCCATAAAAATGGTTAATAATAGATTTGATACAATAAAGGGTTTTCTTTGATTACTAAAATTTTGCTGATGTGAAAATCTGCTTGGTAACTGAGGAATTACTGTAGAAAGTTTGTTGAAGATATACAAAGAAACAAAAAATTCTTCAGTACTCTTAAGGTAGCAAAAAGGTTTGATACTTAAACCTTTTTTGAGGTTTGATACTTAAAAACATTAGTTTTTATTACTGCATACACTTGGGTGAGAATCAGAGATTGGTTGATTTCTGTGGTTGTATCAGTTTTGAAAATGGATTTTATAATCTGATTAATGAACAAAATGTTAAGTACATATGTCCAGAGTTACCTTTCCTGAATTGCACTTAGAAATCTTTAAATGTTCTTTGCTTTAGTTATGGGAAAATAAACTAATGCAGTCTAGGGCGGTAGACGGATTTCATTCCGAAGAACAGCAGCTTTTGTTGCAAGTTCAGCAGCAGCATCAGACCCAGCAGCAGCAGCATCACCATCACCATCACCACCAGCAAGCTCAGCCACAGCCTACGGTACCTCAGCAAGCTCAGACTCAGCAGGTCCTTATTCCTGCAGCACAGCAAGGTGAGACTGGGGATGCTTTCCTGTTTGGGACTTGGAAATCAAGTTTGCCATTTTCAAAGAAGAGAAATATTCTGAGTTTCTCCATTATTTTGGTTGAGGATGGTATCTGTGTTCCTATTAACATAAATTTGCATGAAATGTGGATTCTGTTTGTATAGTAATGATAAACAAGTAAGCCATTAATTGAAAGCCTGTATTCTAAATCTCTTGATACTTTCTTTGGAGAAGGCTACATAATGATGGATTTCCTAAAATAAGATCTATAAAGGTTTACTTACTAAAGATTTCATTGTTTTATATAGTAAAATCATTGTCTGCTTTCTTTATGAAACTGACTTATTCCTTCAAAGACATATTTGAGTTTAATCTGTATAAAAATACTTTAACCAGGAGGGTTTTTGTAACTAACTATACTTTGGCAGTCTGAAATTTCTATTCACTAGTAATTTATGTCATTTAGTACCTAATTCTAAATTGAACTAGGTTTATTTTAAGTGAACAGTGAATATATATCTTTATTTTTATTACTTGGTTTTAAGAAAAACAAGTATATAAAAACAGTGTTTGTACTGCTTTGTATTCTGCAAGTCATTTTATAGATTTTGTTTCTTTGAAGCCTTACAAAGGCTTTGTGAATAGCTCCTAGAGCACTTGAAAGCAGAGGAATATTTAGGCCCTGAAAAAGCTAAGACATTTGATCCATTACATATAGTAAGTGTTTTTGTCATAATAAATTAAGAGTGACCCTATTTTTTTGAGTGATACTGCTTTCCACAGTTTCAGTTACCTGTGGTCAGCTGTGGTTTGAAAACATTAAATGGAGAAGTCCAGAAATAAATAATTTATAAGTCTTTGAGTAGCATGATGAAATGTCAAGCTGTCCAGCTGCGTTCTGTCTGGGATGTGAATCATTCCTTTGCCCAGTGACCCAGGCTGTATATGCTGTGTATGTAGTAGCAGCCTTGGTTATCAGATCGTATTGGCTGCCAGCAAGGGCAGAGTACTGTATTCAGCATTTGAGTTTTGTAAGTCTTATTATTGGAGATGGGAATGAAGGTAAATGAAACAGTTCTTTTAAGGTAACTGCTTAATTACCTATTTGCCTCATTTGAGAGTGTATAGATGGCGTTGCATAGTAAAAATATGTTTGGGTTATTTTACTGTTCATATCGAATAAGACTTCTAATACTTGCTTTTATTCTATACCTTGCATCAAATAATTATCCTTTCACTCTGTATTGATTGATGACTGTTCCTCCTATTGCCTTCAGGCCTGGCACTAGGATTTTAGGTCATCATAAATTAAAATTTGATTTTCTTCACTCAGAAAATATTAGGATAATGGGATTATCTATTTATTTTCTGAAATTTGCGGAATCAAACAGTTCCTGTTACACTTAAGTAATGTTGCCATTATTTTTGATTTGTATTTTTAAAAAGTTGATGAAAGTTACTTATGATTCTAACAAGTCATATTGAGAGAAGGGCTACAGTATGTAAATTTTAAAACAGTTGTAACTTTTTGAGCTTACTCTTAATGTGTTAATAACTCATTCTAACAGTAGTATTATGTCAATAAAATTGTTAATGCTAAGTGAGCAGGACAATTTATAGTTTAAGAATGCACAGAAATGTATAGTTTAGATGACAGGTATCTCACTACTTTTTTTAAATACATTTTACTGATTATTCTATTACATTTGTCACATTATTTTTCTCCCGTTTATTCCTCTCTGCCCTGAACCCTCACTCCCACCAGCATTTCCCCCACCCCTTAGTTCATGTCCATGGGACGGACATGTAAGTTTTTTGGCTTCTCCATTTCCTGTACTATTCTTTATCTCCTCGTATTTTGTACCTGCCATTTATGTTTCTTATTCCCTTTACCTTTTCCCCCATTCCCCACCTCCCCATCCCTCTGATAACCCTCCATGTGATCTCCATTTCTGTGATTCTGTTCCTGTTCTAGTTGTTTGCTTAGTTTTAGGTTTAGTTCATAGTTGTGAGTTTGTTGTCATTTTGTTGTTCATAGTTTTGATCTTTTTCTTAGATAAGTCCCTTTAATATTTCATATAAGAAGAGTTTGGTGATGATAAACTCTTTAACTTGACATTATCTGGGAAGCACTTTACCTGCCCTTCCATTCTAAATGATAGCTTTGCTGGGTAGAGTAATCTTGAATATAGGTCCTTGCCTTTCATGGCTTGGAATACTTCTTTCCAGCCCCTTCTTGCCTGTAAGGTTTTTAAGGAAATCACCTGGTAGTTATATGGGAACTCCTTTGTAGATAACTATCTCCTTTCCTCTTGCTGCTTTTAAGATTCTCTCCTTATCTTTAATCTCGGGTAATATAATCATGATGTGCCTTGGTGTATGCTTTCTTCAGTCCAACTTCTTTGGGTCCCTCTGAGCTTCCTGGACTTCTTTGAAGTCTTATATCCTTTGCCAGATTGGGGCAGTTTTCCTTCATTACTTGTTGAAATAAGTTTTGATTTCTTGCTTTTCCTCTTCTCCTTCTGGCACCCGTATGATTCAGATAGTGGAAACGTTTATTAAAGTTGTCCTAGAGGTTCCTAAGCCTCTCCACATTTTTTTGAATTCTTGTTTCTTCATTCTGTTCTGGTTGGATGTTTACTTCTTCCTTCTGCTCCAAATTGTCTATTTGAGTCCCTGTTTCCTTCCTGTCACTGTTAGTTCCCTGTATATTTTTCTTTATTTCACTTTTCATAGGTTGGCTATCCTTTTGTTGCTTAGTTGTATTTTTTCTGGAGTTTTGATCTGTTCTTTCATTTGGGCCATGTTTTTTGGTCTCGATGTGCCTTAAGAGGCATTTTATTTCTATTCTAAGTGGCAGAGCGTTATGTATTCACCAGAGCGGGGCAGCCCTCTGTGCTGCATTGTGGCACTGTATTTGGGGAGGGGTCTGAGAGGGAACAGTGCTGCCTGCTCGGCTCTGGGAGGCCTTCAGTCACACGCCCTGCTATCCACAAGCAGACTGAGCCCTCTGGTTCTGATTCCTGGATGTGTGGGTTTTTATAGCCAGGGGGTTTGTAACTTTATTTCCCACACTGGAACTCTGGTTTATGTGGTCTGTCTCGCTCCCTAGTGGTTCCTGCTGGTTTATCTGCACACGAATGTGGAGCTTCCCAGTCTTCAAGCCACTGCCTTGTCCACCGGGTCCTCTCTGCCCCTGCTGCCTGTCTCTGCCCCCCAACCAGTCTGAATGAATGTTTCTTCTTTAACTCCGTGGTTGTTAGACTTCTATCCAGTTTGATTTTCTGGCAGTTCTGGTTTTGTGTTTTTTAATTGGTTGTTGTCCTTTTGGTTGTGTGAGGAGGCAAAGTGTATCTACCTACACCACCGTCTTGGCCAGTAGTTGGTATCTCAGTATTTCTTGTTCCTGGGTTCCCTTGTGTCCTTAGGCATTGTTACTCAAATCGTTTTTAAAATGATGTTTTCCAGAAGATGATGGGTATTATCACAGCTGTTATTTACCATAGAAATTTATAATAATCTGAGATACCTAGGAGTTGAGTTTAGTTGAATGCAGAAAAGGTGAAAAAATGAAAAAAGTTTGCAGCATTGTCTGCCATTCTTGTGATTATAAAAAAGCCTCATGATTCTTTGTTTGCATGTGTGCTTGTATTTTTAATAGCTGCAGCGCCACAAGTTATTGTTCCTGATTCTAAGTTGATACAGCATATGAATGCATCAAACATGGTAAGATTCAGAACAAAGCACTATGTTTGGCTCGACTTATTGTAACCCAAATTGTGACTGTGCCTAGGTAGATTGTGTATTAGCCAAGTTTATGCAAGGCTTGAGCAAATGGTTGTTATATTTGTCTTCCTGAATATTGGATTTAGAAGCAAATCTAAAGTTTAGCTTGACACTTAGATGTTGAGGTTCATAAAATTATGCAATTTTCTGTTAAAAATACCAGAAGAATGATGCTTTGTGGGACCTATATCATTCCTTTTTCTGTGTGTGTGGAAAAGAGGACCTGCCAAACAGATGATAAAAATATAGTTTATTTGCAAAAGATTCCTTAAGATCTATTAATTACAAGAGATCAGGAATGCTAAGAATTGAAAACTTTAAACATTTTTTTAGGTAGTTCAAGATAACTGTTTTTTAAGATCAAACATTTAAAAATTTTTTCCAAGATTTAACAATAGCATAGCCTAATAAGTTTTATTATAGTATATAATTTGCTATTTTAAAATGCATTTAACCGGTTGCATTTATTACATATTATATTTGAGATATTTCTAAGGGATGTCCACTGAACTTCATAGTAGCAAAGTTTTCAAATTTTACTTCGGAAATATAGTATTTTCTATCAAATGTAGTATATATAACACTAAAACTGAAAGACCCTCTTCAGATTCTTAGAAAATCTTTATCTATATCTTTAAAGATAAAAACCCAGTAGAATAGTTGGTCTAGCACTTTCACATAAGTAGCTTTTCTTTGTGCTCGTTATGTAGACAGTTACTGATGTCTTAGCTCTGACATCAGTTTTGCAAGGTTTTTTTTTTTTTTTTTTAATGGAATGATTGCTCTAATGCATTATGTATGGTATGGCTATTTCACAGAAGAAATTTTCAGTAGACATTAAAAAAGACATTTTCTGTATTGTACAGACACTCAGCAGATATTAATGGCAAGTTGAATGTGTGGATGTGTGTGCATGTGATGATTCTGCCGTGTGGTGTATAGAAAGTACTACGTCTGTTTGCCTGTAAATGGTGATATGTTCTTATAAAGTTGTAGGCAATTAATATTTCTAAATAATATTTCCCAATAATAAGTGGTTGTTAATATGTTCTTATAATATAGAATACCTTTTATTTGCCTTTACAGGCTAGATTTATTGAAAATTGGGTAGTTGGGTATTCTGCATTTCATAGGGAGATTCTGGAGGTCTATAGCTGGAGTCTGGGGACAGGTGGGAATTTTAGGCTTGAGATGTCAAAATTACGTAGGCTCGTCAAGTGGCAAAATAAACATAGTTTCTTGGAAAGTTATATCTAGAGCCTAGACTAGATCATAGTTATATCATTAATGTACTTGAGTAAATTTTCCAAGTTTTGTTGCCTTCTGACTTCACATCTCTTAGGCACAGTTATATTTATTTCTTAAAGCTTATTCAAATAGAGGTGTTTCTAAAAAATCTAGATTTGATTGAGTTATATGAAGGTGTGGTAACTTAAAAAGATTGACAGGGGAGAGGAAAACTACCTACCTCATTTTTCAGACCATAAGACGTGCCTAAGTTTTAGAGGAGGAAAATAGGAAAAAAATTTTCAAGGAAAAATGTGGCAAAATATTTAATAACATAAATAACATAATATTTCACCAGTATAAATGTAAACAACTCAACAGGGGCATTAACAACCATTATTCCTCCCAGATGGGGGTCGGCGGGGAGAGGGTCTTGTAGTCTGAAAAACTATATAGTTATAGTGAGATACAAGGAAATGCTTTAAGCACAAGATTAAAACACAGCAAGAATGTGGTATGGTTCTTTTGGAGGGAGGAGAGAAGTCTCCAGGAGCAGTAAATCAAGAATTTATGGCTTTAAAGAAATCCAGAATATAATCCTATGTATATTTTTGTAACTTTAATGTTAGGCACTAACTTTTAAAATGTAGAAATTAAATTTTGTGAGTTTTTTAAAGGTTTTGAGGTTTTTTAAATTAATAAAACTATTATTATGTTTTACCTAGATGTAATGCTAATGTTATGTCACCTAATGGCATGTTAGAATTGCCAGCCATACTCCTAAGTATAGTCTTCTGGTATAAATGTTTTATAGAGACCTGTCGATTCTAGTATAAGTTAAAAATACTAAAGTTTCTAAAATAACAGTATTTACACTTTTGCCTCAAGTATGTTAATTTAGAATAAGGTTTTGAGAGTGAGGAATTAGTAGGAAAGGAAATAAGGGAATGGATATTTCATACATTGTATAGCATTATTAGTGTGGGTAAGATTTTTTTTAAGAGCACATTTTCCAGAGAAAAACAAACCAATTATATATTTTCAACTTAAGTGCTTTAAATAATTAAGTAGGACATTTTAGGCTAGATGGTCTTTATTGTACTATTTTATAAAATGGGATTTAGTCTCATGTAGAACTTTTCATTTTAGTATAAACTAAACAGTGAGCTTCACATACTGTTAAAAGGTGCCAGAGATAAACTGAGGTCCTGTTATGCAGATGGGTGGTTTTGATTTTTTTTGTTTCTTCAGAGTGCTGCTGCTACAGCTGCTACCTTGGCGCTCCCTGCAGGTGTGACTCCTGTTCAACAGATACTAACAAATTCAGGTAATTAGAAATAATGGAACCATTATACCTATATAACTAAGAAAATTGTACCATCTAGCCTTTGTTTTGTCTTCATTGGAAGACAGAATACCTTAATTTGTTTATTTTTAACCCATTTGGCTTAGGTTATTAAAATAAGATTATTTTGGGGCACATTAAACTATAATAATTGCTAAGGATACAGTAGAGAAGATAAGACTTACACTTGAGCTTTTGATCTACAAATGAGCATTATATTATTGAATGAATTGCAATTATATAGAAATGCTTATTTAGTTTAAAAACTTCTTTCTAATTTATTTTTTAGAGAGAAAGAGAAACATCCATTTGCTCCACCTATTTAATGTATTCATTGGTTGATTCTTACATGTGCCCTGATGGGATCAAACCCCACACCCTTGGTATATTGGGACAATGTCTCTAACCAAGTGAGCTACCCAGCCAGGGCTACTTAGGTTTCTGGTAGACACATTTAACCTGCAATTGCTCACTTTTTAATTAATTCAGGATTCTGTGTCATTTAAAACAACATATTAGAGAGATTCAGTTCTATATGCATAAATTGGTCATACAGTTAATGCTAAGTGTCAGTGACAATTGGCTCAGTAAACTTTTATAGTTTTTAAACAATTTTGAAGCTAAGGACTATGGTGTTCTTTAGTTCAAGATATTAATGAAGTTTATATTGCCGTTTTGTTGAAGATTTAAAATTAACAGCCCCTGATCTGACATACTGCTCACTCATGACTCTTAACTGTTAGCAAAGGTGATGTAAGCTTTTAATCAACTCTCATAATCTGTTAAGGCTTATGTTGGAAGTGTTAAAACTTCTGTTGGAAAATAGCTTTGTAAGAATGGTAAATGAGGATGTATTTTAACATGGATGAAAGTCAGAGAAGTTAAGGATTATATTTTACTGTGTATGGATAACAGCCCTTAAAACTCATAGACTTTTGACATAATTTCTGTGGTCTTTGGTAGTTAGACATTCACTATTAATTCATTTATTTGAGATGGTAACTGCTAAAATGGTAACTTGGAATACATCCTTTTTGCTTTAGGCCAGCTTCTTCAAGTGGTCAGAGCAGCCAATGGTGCTCAGTATATCTTTCAACCTCAGCAGTCAGTGGTTCTACAGCAACAGGTTATACCACAAATGCAGCCTGGTGGAGTGCAGGCTCCTGTTATACAGCAGGTAAAAGAAGCATTCTAAATTCTTGTATAACTCACACCTTAATGTATATTCAATATGTTTAAGACAATTGATGTTATTCCCTACTCACTAGTCTCCACCCAGCCTTTTAAGCTAGTTATTCAGCATTCATTCAGCAAGCATTTACTCTGTGGCTGTATGTTAAGGTTTCTGCAAAGGACTGGAGATTTAGAAGTGAACAAGGCAGGCATGAATCTAGTTTCACAATACTGTGTTATTTTCTGGAAAGAGGTGTATGGAATTCTTTCTTTCACCTCCAATATCTGAAGTATTATGAAATTCTACCAATTCTTTATAGTTCCTTTTTTGAGACTGCAGTTTTAACATATTTATAGTTCCTAAATATTTGAAAAGAGTGATCTCAGACTGTTATTTCTTTAGTTCATGCTCTCATAATTTCTCACTTAAAATATTGTATTATCCTCTTAATTTCTCTCCCTCCAATCTTGTGCCCTCCTAACCTGACCCTACTATTTTATAATCATTGCTCTAAAAAAAGGTCTTAAAATATTTCAATGATTTCTCATTGTTTATTAGGAAAAGTCCAAATTCCTCAGCATGGTTTATAAGATTTTTTTTTTATCTTGTGTTTTGATCTCAGGTTTAATTTTTCCCATACTTCCAGTTGTTAGCTGCTTCAGCTGCTGTTAAAAAATACATTGTATTTTTGTGTACCTGGTATTACAAAGATGAAAGAGAAATGGTTATTATTTTGAGGAGTTTAGGTACTTTAAAAAAGAGACAATAAACACATAATGTCAATATTTAAAGTACCACGATAGAGGTCAGATCAGAGGAGGAGCATTAATCCAGCCTATTTATAGCTTTCCAAATTTTGTCCTGCTGTTACTTCTGGGTTTACTTGATGTTATTTTTTCTATTTAGAATCCTGCCTTTGGCCTTCTAGCAATGACCTTTACTTCCCACCAAACAAACCAGATGGAAAAGCCTGGCTGATCTCCCAAAGCACAAATAGACAGTCGAGTATTATCTACTGGGAAGGCTTCCCTGACCGTGCCTTGTTCCCCAAGCTGAACTGCGTAATCTGTTCTGTGTTCCCATAACACTGTTATCGTACTTCTATTGCATCTTCTCTCTCTTTTTTTCCATTGTACCATTAATCTGTAAACTTGAGGGAAATACTGTTTCATTATTTTTGCATTCCTTGAACCTAATGGCAAGAAGTTGCCATTCGGTGCTTTTTATTATCTGCCTTTTATTTATTAACCATAGTTTATAAGTATGTTTATTTTAACATATAATTAATATTTGTTAATTTTTTAAAGTTGATGTTTACTTTAGAATCTTAGAATACAGATGTTAGAAGGAACTTTAGAAATCTGATCCAGTGGTTCTCAGTTGTGGTTGCATGAATCATATAGGGAGCTTTAGATAAGGTGAAAAGATTTCATCTTACCCCCAGTTCAATCAGCACATTAGGAATTGAGGCTATGTATCACTGTTTTTTAAGCAATCAGGTGGTTATAATTTGTAGCCAGTGTTGAAAGCCCTTGATCCCAGTCTAACAGTGAGGTGACCAAAGCCAAGAGAGAGGTTAAACAAATGGCTTGCTTCTGCTGCATCTGTACATGTGATCTTACACAAAACTGGAACTCAGAAGTTTAGGTTTTCAGTGCAGTGTTCTTCATAGGGAGGCAGTGTAGCATTATAAAAAAAACAGAATTAGAAAGCCTCAGTTCAAATTTTGCTTTTTGGTGAATACAGTCTGGGAAGTTACTAAACCTCCCCATACATTAAGAAAATAAACTACTAACTAGTGTAACTGTTGGCCTGCAATCTGGCATATACATAGCGTGTGCTGGACAAGTGGAGTTATCTTCAGAAAATCTTTTTTCCTTAGAAATTTGAATGGTAAAATGGAAATTTAGTGAATCAGTACACTAGTTAACCATTTCTTTTTTGCTTGGGCAGTTTTAACTTATATAAGATGGCCATTTTTGGTGTTCCTTCAGCATTCGGCCCTGTTTCTGTGTACCAGGTAATGAAACTGAACTACTCGATCCTTTTAACTAGTTTCTGATATTTGGTTTTCCTTTGCCTTAGGTACTGGCTCCTCTTCCTGGAGGGATTTCGCCTCAGACAGGTGTCATTATCCAGCCGCAGCAAATCTTATTTACAGGAAATAAGACTCAAGTTATACCTACAACAGTGGCAGCACCAACACCAGCACAAGCACAGATAACTGCAACTGGCCAGCAGCAACCACAGGCCCAGCCTGCTCAACAACAAGCTCCACTGGTGTTACAAGTTGATGGAACTGGGGATACATCATCTGAAGAAGATGAAGATGAAGAAGAAGACTATGATGATGATGAGGAGGAAGACAAAGAGAAAGATGGAGCTGAAGATGGGCAGGTAGAAGAGGTAAGTTTCTGGTAAAAAACATTTAAAAAACCAAAAAAACTTGAGAAGTTACTCCATCATTTCTTCTTTTACTTGGTGCCAAATTTGAATTATATCCTATGTTTCAGAGGTCTTTAGGGTGCCATTCAACATAGGATTTCAAATATAAAGTTAGATTGTTCTAACGTAGTGAAGTTTTTAGATTGTTCTGGTTTATCTTCAGAAATATTGTTCATATAGCTGTTAATGGAAAGGAATGTATACGAAATTGTATTTATAGAGGTGATGGAGATAGTGCAAGTAATTCTATTTCTTTAGCTTGTGCATTCATGATTTAGCTTAAACATAAGACATTGGAAGAACAGATGTGGTTAATCTTTTGCTTTAATAATTAAAAAAGGACAGCAACATTTGGGAAGAGAAAATATTGGAGAAAAAAACTAAATATGACAGATTTTCTTAGAATTCTTTTGTTCCATGTTCCATACCATTTCCTTTGATAACCTTATCTACTTTTAGAAAAAACATCCTTTTACTCATTTTTAATTATTTATTAGAAATATGTAAACCTTTTTCTGTGTGTCAGCTTAGTTACTTGTGTTCCATAACTTTCATTGTTAATTGCCTTCTGCAACCTAAGATGTAACTTTCTTGATTGTCTTAATACAGAGTTCTAATAAATTATCTAATTGATATTTTAATATACTTTTTAAATTAAATATTGAAAAGATGTAAATAAATAAAAATATTTAAAAATAGAAACACCTCAGCGTCCATATCTAGTTAAAAAAATTCCATTTCTTTAATTAAAGTCTCCTGGGTGCCTCTCCCTAGTTCTGTGCCTGGCAGAGTAACCATGCTCATACATTTTGTGTTTATCATTAACATGCCTTATGTTTTACCATGTGCATACACGTATATATATGTCTAAAGAGCGTATTGTTTACTTTTGCATACCAATTTATAATGTAAGTGGAATAAGTATGTATTATTCTGGAAGTTTTTTTTCCTGAGGTTCATCTAAGCTGTTGCATATACCTATAATTATTTTCACTGTTGAATATACCGTAATTTATCCACTTTTTTCATGTGATGGGCATTAGAGTTGTGTCTTCTTGTTCACTGTAAAGTTTTAACATGTTCCAGTGTGTGTCTTCTGGGGACACATAGCAAGAGTTTATCTAGGTTTATACCTGAACACTGAATTGTTGGATCCTAAGGTATGAACGTGTTCGCCTTTACAATAAAATGCCAAACTGTTGTACTAATAACTCCTACCATTCATTATATAATGCGTATATGTCTATGTGTCTTCACCATACTCAGTACTGTGTCAGACTTCTTATTTTGCCAGTCTGATAGGTAGGAAATGTTGTTTCATTTTGGTTTTAATTTGTGTTTTCTTGATTACTGATGAGGTTTAGCCTTTTTGATTCATTCATGTGTTCTTTGTAAATAGTCAAATGAAAAACGATAATTTTTTTTGACTTGTTGGCCAAGCCCTCTAGAATAATATTTATTAGGAATGATGATAACAGGCACCCTTATCTTTTTTCTCCCCTCACCAGGGGACATCTTATTGATTTTTAAAGAGGAAAGGTAGAGGAGAGAAACATCAATGTGACAAACTTCGATCACTTGCCTCATATGTGCCCTGATCAGGGACTGAACCCTCAACCTTTTGGTTTATGGGACAGTGCTCCAACCAACTGAGCCACACCAGCCAGGGCAGTAAACCCTTATGTTAATCAGAAATACTTTCTATGGATCATTTTTTGTCCTTTTAAATTTATTGATTTTTAGAGAGAGAGAAACATCGCTTTTTGTTGTTCTGCTTATTTATGCATTCATTGGTTGATGGCTTGTATGTGCTCTGATGGGATCAAACCCACAACCTTGGTGTGTCAGGATGACACTATCTAACTGAACCACCCAGCCGGGGCTATGGTTCACTCTTAAAGTGTAATGTTTATTATAGGATTTTTATGGGATTCCTTTATCAGGTAAAAGAAGTTCCCTTATATTCAAACTAAGAGCTTTGCTTTATTTTCTAAACTATAGATGAATTGATTTTATTAAACATTTTCTGTAGCCATTAGATAATCAGATGATTTCTTATTCTTCATCTGTCGTTTATGATGAATTGTATTCGTTAATTGGTTTTCTATTTGTGAACCAGTTTTGTATTTCTCTCATGCACAACTTGATCATTATATATTAATCTTTTTATGAATTGCCAGATTCTCTTTGTTTAGGACTTCTGCATGTATATTCATGAATGATATAATGTGCAATTTTCTGCTCTTACACTCTTACCGGGTTTTCAGGTTTATGGTAGCAGTAGTTTATGGTTTTTTAGTATATTTTATTGATTATGCCATTACAGTTGTCCTATTCCCCCCCTTCATTCCCCTCCACCCTGCATACCCCGCCCCCACCATTCCCCCCCTTTCGTTTATGTCCATGTGTCACAAGTTCTTTAGATTCTATATTTCCCATACTATTCTTGCCCTCCCCCTATTTTTTACCTACCATCTATGCTACTTATTCTCTGTACCTTCTCCCCCCTTCTCTTCCCACTCCCCTGTTGCTAACCCTTCATGTGATCTCCATTTCTATGGTTCTGCTCCTGATCTAGCTGTCCTCTTAGTTTGCTTTTGTCTTAGGTGTGGTTCTAAATAACTGTGAGTTTGCTGTCCTTTCACTGTTCATCTTTTTTATCTTCTTTTTCTTAGATAAGTCCCTTTAACATTTCATATAATAAGGGCTTGGTGGTGATGAACTCCTTCAACTTTACTTTACCTAAGAAGCACTTTATCTGTCCTTCCATTCTAAATGAAAGCCTTGCTGGATCTTGGATGTAGGTCTTTGGATTTCATGACTTGGAATACTTCTTTTTAGCCCCTTCTTGCCTGTAAGGTCTCTTTTTGAGAAATCAGCTGACAGTCTGATGGGAAGTCCTTTGTAGGTGACTGTCCCTTTATCTCTTGCTGCTTCTAGGATTTTCTCCTTCATTTTAATCTTGGGTAATGTAATTATGATGTGCCTTGGTGTGTTCCTTCTTGGGTCTAACTTCTTTGGGACTCTGAGGTTCCTGGACTTCTTTGAAGTCTTATGTCCTTTGCCAGATTGGGGAAATTCTCCTTTATTATTTGTTCAAATAAGGTTTCCACTCGTGGCTGTTCCTCTTCCCCTTCTGGTACCCCTATAATTCGGATGTTGGAACGTTTAAAGATGTCCTGGAGGTTCCTAAGCCTCTCCTCATTTTTTTGAATTCTTGTTTCTTCATTCTTTTCTGTTTATTTTTTTCTTCCTCCTGGTCCACTCCTTTTATTTGAGTCCCAGTTTCCTTTCCATCACTATTGGTTTCCTGTGCATTTCCCTTCATTTCAATTAGTTTAGCCTTCATATGTTTCTCTACTTTGTGACTAAAATCAACCATTTCTGTGAGCATCCTGATCACCAGTGTTTTGAACTGTGCCTCTGAAAGGTTAGCTGTCTCTTGGTTGCTTAGAGTTATTGGCTCTGGGGCTTTGAGCTGTTCTTGAGCCATAATATTTTGGTCTGGTAGCACCTGTTATATATGAGGGGTGGAGCCTTGGGTGTTCACAAGGGTGGGGCCACCCAAGTCACTGGGTTGTAACGCTGTATGTGGGGGTGGTGTCAGAGAGGGGCAGTGGCGTTTGTTCTGCTCTCTCTCAGATTTCTGTCCCCTCTGACGCTTTCCACAAGCAAATTGGGTCCTTCTGGTGCTGGTTCCTAGGTGCGTGGGCTTGTGTACCCTCCAGGACCCTGTGGGTCTCTCCAATGAACTCTATGTGAACCTGGGAGCTTCTCCCAGCACCTCAACCCCAAAAGTCTTTCCAGTTGGTGCTTTCAGGCTCTAATTCCCACCACTGGGGCCCTGGCCTGAGCGGTCGTGTCTCACTGTTCGTTCCTTTGCTTGGTTTAACTGCGCACGAATGTGTGACCAGGGTCAGCCAGCTGCTTTGCGCCCTCACTGGTGTCCGCCCATTGCCACCCCACGCCTGGGATTCGCCAACCGCCTCCTACGCTCCTTAACTCCTGAGTCAGTCCGGCTGATCTTTCCTGCCCAACCCCACTTTGCGGCTGACTCCGCCTCTCTTACGGTGTGGATGAATGGGTTGTTGTCGGTCGTACAGTTCAATTTTCTGTTTTTTGGCTTCGTTTTTATCACTAAAACTTTGTTGTCTTTAAACTTGGTTGTATGAGGAGGCACAGTGTTTCCACCTACGCCTCCATCTTGGCTGGAAGTCCTGGTAGCAGTAGTTTCATAAAATGATTTTTGGGGAGTGTTCTCTCTACATTTGACTTTTTTTTTTTAAGATTATACTTAATTCTTCTGTGAACATTTGCTAAATATGCTGCTAAAATATCTGGTTCTAGGAGTAATTTTTACTCTGTTCAGGTATACTGTTTCCCTTTGAGACAGTCCAGGTAAGTGATATAGGCATACCTTCGAGGTAATGCGGGTTTGGTTTGAGACCACCGCAGTACAGCGAGTCCTGATGTTTTTGCTGGTGGGGAAAGTAATGCCTTTGATATGTAAAAAATGCAATCTCTGTAAAAAGCACAATAAAGCGAACCTTGATAAAACAAGGTATGCCCGTATTTTTCTAAGTTTATTTATCTAAGTTTTTAGTTGATTATCATAAAGTTAATATCTTTTTGATGTCAAGTCATTTGTAGTCATTTTCTTTTTTATTTTCTCATTCCTGATATAGTCTGTGATTTCTTGTTCCTTTTTTCATTTTCAGTATTGCTAGAGGTATGTTGATTGCATAATGTTTCAAAGAATCAACATACAGCTTTGTTTATTCTGTTTAGTGTGTTTTTTCTTACTTTATTAATTTATGTTCTGACTTCACTGTTTGATTTGTAGAGAATACAGTCTCTGTGATGTGTGCATCCTTTGAAATTGATAATTGCTCTATGTGATCAGTACTTGCATATGCTTCCCATGTATTTGAAGAGAATGTTTTCTGCGGTTTTGTCTCTCTCTATATATGTCTTAGATTGTCGGTATTTGGGCGGTGGGGATAGTTTATATCCTTATTGATTTTTTTTCTGTGTTTGCTCCATCCTTGACTTCACTGAGTGAGAGGGATATGTTCACACCTCTTACTATAATATAGGTGGATTTACTTCTTTTCTGTCATTGTTGCTTTTTGTATTTTGAGCCTGAAAATGTGTGCACATAAGCTTAAAATTGTATTTCCCCAGTGAGCTGAACCATTTATGATTAAATAGTATCCTACTTTATCTCTAATAATTTTATTTTATTTTTTGTTATAAAGTTTGTTTTGTGTGATATTAACAGGACCATACCACCTTTATTTCAGTTAGAATTTGCCTGATAGAGCTCTTTCTCTTTCAAATGTTGTATATTCTTAAGCTTTAATATGTCTTTTTTATGTGGAACACTGCTATGTGTGCTCTCATGTTACAAAATTTTTACGTGGGTCAGGGCTATTCCGTAGGGAAAGAATAGTCTTTTCAACAAATAGTTCTTGAACAACTGAACGTACACGAGCAAATGAATAAAGTTGGATCCATATGTCACACCATGTATAAAATTTGTGTCTCTGATCCATTAACTAAAAATGGATCAGAGACAAATGTAACATCTAAAACTCTAAAATTCTTAGAAGAAAACAGGGTAAAAGCTTCACTATTTTGGATTTGGCAGTAGTTTCTTAGATATGACACCAAAAGCACAAGTAATCAAAGCAAATATAAAAGTGAACTTAATGGATTAAAACTTTCGCACTTCAGAGGATAGTATATACCAAGTGAAAGACAAGCTATATAATAGGAGAAAATATTTGCAAATCACATACCTGATAAGGGATTAACATCCAGGCTATATGGAGAACTCTTAAAACTCAGCAAAAACAACCTATTCAAAAATAGACAAAGGGCTTAACAGACATTTCTTTAAAGAAGGTATACAAATATCCAATAAGCATGTGAAAAGATGCTTAACGTCATTATTCATGTAGAGAAATGCAAATGAAAACCGCAAAGAGATACTTCACATCTACTAGAATGGCTATCATAAAAAATAAATATTGGTGAGAATTTGGAGAAGTTGGAACTTTGTTGGTGGAGATGTAAAGTGGTGTAGCTGCTATGGAAAGTGAATTGGTGGTTGCTTAAAAAGTTAAGATTGGAATTACGTCACCTAGTAATTTCACTCCTATGTATAAGAGAATTGAAATAGGTGTTCAAAAAGGAGCTTGTGTATGAATGTTTATAACAGCACTGCTCATAAAATCTGAAAGATGTGAGCAACCCAAATGCCCATGACCCAGTGGATGGAAAAATAAAAGTTGGTGTGTCCACACAGTGGAATATTATTTAGCTATGAAAAGAAACAGAGTTCTGGTATATGCTACAACATGAGTGAATCTTAACCATTATGCTAAGTTAAGAAGCCAGACCACACATTGTATATGTGTATTATCTCTCATTCTGTTTTGTCTAGAGTAGGTAAATCTGTAGATACAGAAACCAGATAGATGACTGGTTGCCAGGGGTGTGAAGAGGTAGGAATGGGAAGTGTCTGCTTAATGGTAAAGGTGATGAGATTATTCTGGAACTGGGTAGTGGTGGTAGTTGCACACATAATGAAGTCCAAAGGAATTGTACCTTTAAAGTGGTGAATTTTATATTATGTGACTTGTATAGTTTTTTTTTAACATTTACATGGGTGATCATCTTTTTTTTTTTTTTTTAAATTTTACTTAATTTTAGATGGAGGGAAGGGAAGGAGAAAGAGAGAAACACACCAATGTGTGGTTGCTCTCTCATACCCCCTACTGGGGACCTGGCCTGCAACCCAGGTGTGTACCCGGACTGGGAATTGAACCAGCCAGCGACCCTTTGGTTCACAGGCCAGCGCTCAGTCTACTGAGCCACACCAGCCAGGGCTGATCATCTGTTTTTAATTAAAGAACATGTATTATACATACACGTGTATGAGTAGGCATAGGCCTAGACTTAATATCATCTTATTTAGAAATCTGAGTTATGCCTTTTATTTTCTGCTACGGTTGTGGTCAAGTTTAACATAATTGGTTATTTTATGGTCTTGGTCTTTAATTCTTTTTGGTTGAGACTACTCCCCTATTCCACCTCGTTGAGTGCACACTCACTTTAAATCTAATGGTTTAATTAATTATACTCTAAGCCATCACCATCACAGTGGTAATGTGCTAATTTGTACTCAGAGTCCTAATGTTAGGATGAGCCAAGACTGCTAGCCTATTTTAGCACTTTCCCCCTCCTGCTTCACCATTGTTTTCCCCTGTACATGCAGCTTCTGGTGGTGTACGGGACCGTAATGTCATTAAATGCTCACATTCTCAAACCTAAGAAAGAAGGTGTATGTCTCGACATCTTCCACGGTTATCGCTGAGAATTATCTTCCTGTGCTGTTCTGAAAGAATAAAGGAAGTAAAGTTAAACATCATTTCAGGCTTATAGGTCATAGCTTAACTAGTTTAATTGATGTATTTGATTTCTTGTTGGAATTTTAGTAACCATGGCTAAGTCAGTGCAGCCAATATGTTTATGGTGTACATATATGTATCATCAGTCCTTGGTTCTTAAAGAACATCAAGGTCATTATGTTTCTTTTCATTGCCTATTAGAAGGGCCCTTTTCTAATAGTGCATGAGGTATAAAAAATAAATTCTCCCTTTTTATTTATAGGAGCCCCTCAACAGTGAAGATGATGTGAGTGATGAGGAAGGGCAAGAACTCTTTGATACAGAAAATGTTGTTGTATGTCAGTATGATAAGGTAAGGATTTTATCACCAGATTGCCAACATTTTTTTCTGTTTTAAGTTATTTCTAAAACATCCTTTCTGCCTTGTTCTAATATTTGCGCAGCTGATTAGTGCCTTTAAAAAATTTAATCTTTATTATTTTTTTTTTTTTAGATTTAATCATTATTGATTTTTTTTTCCCATTACCATTTAATCCCCTATATTTCTCTCACCCCAGCAATCACCACACTGTTGTCCCTGTCCAGGAGTGCTTTTTCCTTCTTGCTCAGTTCCTCTCCCCCTCACATTTCCTCTCCACTAGCTGTCATCTATGAGTTTCTCCACCCTCCGCTAGTTCTGTCTCTTCACCAGCTCTCTCATCTGTGACTTTCTCCCCATTTTCCTTGTTAGTTCAGTTTATTCATTAGATTCCACATAAGAGTGAAATCATGTGGTTTTACCTTTCTCTGACTGGCTTATTTCACTTAGCATAATGTTCTCCAGGTCTGTTTATACTGTTGCAAAGGGTAAAATGTTCTTTTTTTTTTTTTACGGTCAAATAGTATTCCATTGTGTAAGTGCGCCATAGTTGTTTTATTCACTCATCTACTGATGGATGCTTGGGCTGCTTCCATATCTTGGTGATTGTAAGTAACACAGCAGTGTACATAGGGGTGCTTTTCTGTTCTTTCGAATCAGTGTTTTGTATTCCTTCGGATATATTCCCACACATGGGATCAGTGGGTCAAAAGGCAGATCTTTTTTTTTTTTTTTTTTAAGATTTCATTTACTTATCTTTAGAGGGGAAGGGAAGGAGAGAGGGAGAGAAACATCAGTGTGTGGTTGCCTTTGTGCGTCCCCTGCTGGGAATTGGCCTGCAGGGAACCAGTCTGCAACCCAGGTATGTGCCTCGACTGTCTGGTTTGCAGGCCCGCACTCAATCCACTGAGCTAGAACAGCCAGGGCAAGGTAGATCTATTTTTAATTTTCCGAGGTATCTTTATACTGCTTCGCACAGTGGCTACATCAGTCTGCATGCTCACCAACAGTGCAGAAGGGTCCCCCTTTCTTCACATCCTTGTCAGGTGTGAGATGATACCTTACTGTGGTTTTAATTTGCATTTATCTAATAATTAGGAACATTGAGCATCTTTTCATATGTCTATTGGCCATCTATATGTCCTCTGTGGAGAAATGTTTATTTAGTATAAACTGTGAATGAAGACATGGTTATAGTTTAGTAGATTATTTTAATAAAATGAGAAATAATCTGTGTAACTTTACATTTTTAAAATTAGTTATTGATGAAATTGGGAGGAAGTTGTTAAGTCCTGACTTGTTAACAAAGTAAACAATTGCTTTTGAGTTGTCCTTTAATATAAAAAATAACTCAGTGGGATAATTATATCTTTCTTTTAGCCTCAGTGACCTCAAAACTAAATTAAGTTTAATTGGATCTCTGCAAGTTGTATAATTACTAAAGAGAAAACTAGAGCAAAAAATAAGACTGATAACTAACAAATAGATATATTTTTAATGTAATTAGTTTTTAAATTATTAGCTTTGCTATAGTTTGGTATTATTAAGGAATTTTTAAACTAAATTCTATGAGAATTAGCTCTTGAATTCTTAATTCCTAAAAAGGGTGCTACTTTCTAAGTATTTTTGTTATAGTTTATTGGCATTATTGTTGAGATTTTTGTTACTTATTGAAACATTTAATTTAAAATTTGTTTTCTGGCTACAATAATTAAACTTACAATAAACCTACAAATTATATTTCATTTATAATTCAGTTTTAGCAGAGGTCTTTACCAAATACTGAAAGCTCTAAAAACAGCAGTTGGGTTATAGGTTCAGTCCCCAGTTGGGGCACATTCGAGAGGCAACAGATGGATTTTCACATTGATGTTTCTCTTCCTCTCTCCCCCCTCCCTTCCTCTTTTTCTAAAAATAAATAAATCAGTTCTTTTTAGAAAAGCAGTTGGGTTTTGTTTGTAAGTGCTACTTGTTCCGTTAATGAATATTTAATAAGTATCTACATTTGCCAGGCACTGGAGCAGTTGTCACGATCGTACAAAGTGATTCCCTGAATGACTTTCCTTTACTAATGATGGGGATCTTAAATTTGTGTTGCTTTTATAGGAATGAATGTTATCAGTAACCATGCTTATTGCAAACAGATCTATAGGGAAAATGTCAAGACAGTGGATCTTGTCATTTCCTAAAGAAAAGGTAAAGTCAAGCCACTTACATATCATTGAAATTATAGAGTAAGCTCAGTGAGGTAATTGATTCAGAGTTATGAGAACATTCACTTTTGTAGATTATGACTTATGGGTGAGTGTTCTTAACTCATTAATAATAAATGTAATATCTGTCACATTCATGTAGAGAAGAATATTTAGGTTAAAACAGGAGATAACGATAAACTTTTATTGTCAAGAAGTCTCAAGGGAACCTCTTGCAACCAAATTGTCCAGAACACAATTTCATGATAACAAGATACCAGATTTTCTTGGTTCGTGCTGGAAAATAAATTTGTATACCTATTTTAGGAGAGTTAATACTTGTGCTCTACAAGGTGCCAAATAAGAAAAGAGGAAGCCAGGGTCATACCTGTTTTCATGCAACAAATACTTATTGAGTGTTTATGATGTCCCAAGACACTGTTCTAGGAGCTTCAGACACACTAGTGAGCAAACAAAATAATCCCTGCCATTGGGAAACTTACTGCAGTGGAGGGAGATGTACACTAAAACAATGAACATAGCTTGTTAGAAGTTGATAATTGTTACAGAAAATAAAGAGGGGGAAAGGGACAGGTTACAGTTTTAAATAGGATAGTTCTGTTAGGTCTTTTGAGAATACGGCATTTAAATAGACTTAAGGAGGGCTAACCCAATCATCGTCTGTGTCAGCGGTACCTGTTCTATGTGAGTGGCAGTACGAAAGCTCGTGCTGGGCTGGGGCAGGGGTGTTCTGTAGTAGTAGAGTAAGTCCAGGGTGAGTGAGGGCAGACGGTGTGGGACTTTGTGGGGACAGGGGCTCTTGTGTGGATTGGGAAGCTGTTGGAAGGTTTCAGATAGACAAATGTGATGTCACATTTTAATTTCAAAAGGATTACCTTTCATTTGTTAAAATCTGTGTGTGGAGAAAGCAAAGGTTGAAACAAGGAGACTGATCAAGGGATATTATAGTAATCCAAGTGAGAGATAATGTTGATTCAGGCTAGGATGATAATACTGGAAATCCTGCAAGGCAATTGGCTCTTGGATGTGTTTTGAAGAAGACTCAGTAGGAATAGTTGACTCTCTTTAGATGTGTGATAGAGAAGGAAAAGGGAAATCCAGGATGACTGCACAATGCAGTGTGCAGGTGATGTTTTACTGAGTTGTGCACTTAAAGCCTGTATGGTTTTGTGAACCAATGTGACCCCAGTAAATTCCATTAAAAAATGACTCCAAGGTCTTTTGATGAGTAACCAAAAAAAAGAAAGGAGATGCCATCGACTGAAATGGAGGAGTCTGAAGATGGAGCAGGTTTCAGAGACGAGATCAGTTTTCGACGTGTTAAGTTTGGAAAGTCTATTAGATCTCCATCTTAACATCCATCTTAACTATACATAATATATTTAGAACAGAGCTAGAAGACCAATTAATGTAAGACTCTCTTCTCGGACTACTATTTTAATTTTTGTGTGTGTTCAGTTTTAATGGATAAGAAAAATTGAATAAATGCAGAGTTGTAGTCAGTGATCTAGAGGAAGAGCATGAGAGTGGTTTTCAAATATGTGAAATGTTTTTTGACTTAAAAAAAATTTTAAGTCCCAAGAGACAGAGCTAGGACCAATAAGTAGAAGTTTGGAGGAATCATATTTCAGTAAGGGGTAAAGTGTGAAGGCTTATAAAAGTTGTCCTAGAAAAGAATAACATAATTTGCAATTCTTTGCCCTCTACTTTTAACTAATATAAGCAAACACTGAATAATTTTCCAAGAATATGCCATGGAGAGTGGTTGCACTGGGAGGTTAGACTGGAATTTTAGGAATGGAACATCAAATTATGTGTACATAGTAAACATTTCTTCATTATTATATGAAACAGCCTGATTTAGTAGAAAGCCTATTGGATCTGATTCAAGAATCATCTTTGTCACTTAATAGATTATACCCTTGGACAAGTCATTTAACTTTTCCAGCCTGTAATTTCCTTTTTTAAAATGAAATTGTGAACCATTTGATTTGAAGTCTTTTTAGACTAGAAAAGAGGGAGAACCACAGGTTTTTCTTTGAAAGAGAATGTGGAGCTGGAACTGGACTTTGAATGATGAGTGGGGCTTACTGCAAAAGGGAAGAAAGTTCATTTTAGTTCACTAAATTTTACAGCTTCTTTTCCCCCTAAGTCCACGGAATTGCAAGTAAATGAAGGCAAAGCTAGGAGTGCCCAGGGCCTGGTCCAGTTTGAACTCCACCCTTCTCTCTCTCTGTCTTAACTGTAGGAGGTACATAGTTTTTGAAATGTGTATCGAGTGGCGGGATGACTAGCACGCCCTCAGTTGTATTTGTTAAATGCTGCCATGTAGTTAAGTCTTGAAAACTAAACTGTAAAAGAGTTTGACTTTGATAGAAGAAATCAGTACATGCATATACTTTAGAAATAATACTAGAAATGTCTTGGGGAATGCCATTGGGAATTAATCAGTAGGAAAGAGTACTTTTAGTTGATGAGATTCGAGAAAACTTTGTGGAAGACACAGTATTTTGAGGTGGATCTTGAACTAGGAATTGAATATAAAAATGGGAGCAAGGGATGCTACTTCCTTTGATTGAAATACAGCCCTTGAGTAATGTGGAAGTAGGAAATAATCTTGGGAAGTGAGTTATTTCCTGGTCATTTAGAAATAGAAATAGTCAAGAAGAGGTGATTGGTCAGAATTGTGCTCTTTGCAGCATTGTTTATAAGATTATTGGAAAGAAGGGGAGAATGAAGGCATGAAAATCAGTTAGATGGTTATTGTAATAAGTCAGATGA